GATACCTCACCTACCTTGTCTCTCTCATGTTCAGGTAACAGATTTTAAAATATCTAAACAAGATTCTTCAAGCCTATTTGTGTTACAATTTAAACAGTTCAAATCTAATTTTTTCTGTTTAATTAACATGTGACCTGTTAGTGCAAGGTGATGAGGGCTGAAAGCTTTTAACACTGAATGTTAGATTTCTGTGCTCTAAAGACTGGTTGCTTCATTTCTACAGAAAGCACCTGTGTCTGTAGTATCATCATCAAAGCTGCTGGCTTGATACCAGATTACCCCTTTCAAAGGTTAAAACAACACACTAAATTCTAAAGAAGTTTAGTTTGGGATGATCATGTTACTCTGTCCTTTGACAGAGCTTTGATTCTCTTCATTAGATATATGGTAAACATCAGAAACATGACTGGAAATAACCTTGCAAAATAACATTTTTAATAACCTTTTTTTTTTCTTTCCTGGGCATTCAGCAACAGATGTTTGTATTTTAGACTTCTGTCTAGTTAGTCAGCTCATAACCTGCTTGGCTCAAAGCTAACTTGCATCAGAGAGTTAGGCTTACAAAGCATAACTATAACTTGGGGTTGAACCCATCAAACCAGGTCAATCTTGCTCTCTCACTCGGTTTCATCTATTTAGACTGTAAGCTGTTGGGGGACAGGGACTGTCTTCTACCCTGTGTTTATACAGAGCCTACACAATGTGGCCCTTATCTTGGTGTGGCCTTTATGTGCTACTGGTAATACAACTAATTACACTCTAAGAACCCTCCTCCCCATTTTGAAAAATAACAAGAACAATTCTTAACACTACTATAGTGCTGTTCATCTTAGAAGCAATGTACTGTACACATATTAACTAATCATTAAGTAAATAGGCTGAATAACTTATTAAGACTCCTCTACAACCAGTCAGCATTAGTGTGGCTCTTCCATGTTCACTGTTGAGTTGACATTAATCTGCTAAAGGCTAAACTGTCACAAAGAGCCCTGCTTTAAAAGGTCCAGATACACATGTGTACTGCGTCCTGTAGGTGGTCACTCTCCTGTACCTCCAAGGAAACAATCGTTTTGAACGGGTGCTCAGAGACTGGCTGAAAATAACCTTTAATCAGTGATTCCAAGGTGTATGTAACCCATGCCTTCTTTGTGTGGCGCTCTGTCTCCATCTAGTGGCAGCCAGGCCAGCTAGATGATGAGTCTGTTGATTGTAAATTGATGAGTCTATAAATTGATGTCTGCCACAGCCATGGTGAAGAGCTATGTGCCTTTTAGCTCATGCAGTCGAGGGTGACCAGATGTCCCAATTTTACAGGGACAGTCCCGATTTTTGGGTCTTTTTCTTATATAGGCTCCTATTACCCCTCACCTCCTGTCCCGATTTTTCACACTTGCTGTCTGGTCACCCTATGCAGTCGAGGCTTATATGCTGAGCTTCAGAGGTCCCAGGTTTGATCCTGCCCGATGACTGGGGTCTGTTGGTGTTACATGTGCACTCAGAGTTCGGCTGTGCTTACAACACAGGCATTTTGAAGATTTGGTCTGCTTCTCTGTGCCTCTTCAGGGCATGTCCACCTCTACACCCATGCTGGTCCCTGCAGTCCCAGGAGTATGTGAGGTGCCACTCAGTTGTTCTTGTTCTGCCCTTTTCGCTACTCTCTAGACTTTCTTTAAATATGTACCAGGAAGCTAGGTAGAAGGGGATGGGGAAGATTCTTGGCAGAACTTTTGTGGAAAAGCAGAGTCACAGGAAATCTGCAAGCCTCACAACAGCCAAGGAACCGCTTGCAGGGCCTCCTGAGAGGCCAGTTTTTAGAAACTGTGCCCTACTCTGGCTGAATGAATAGGGCTCTGTTAGCCAAGCCCCTACATGGTTCATAACATTTGCTTCTAAGAAGGGTTGTCAACTCTCCAGGATTGCCCGGGAGTCTCCCGGAATTAAAGATTAATCTTTAATTAAAGAGTATCTAATGTGAGGAAACCTCCAGGAATATGTCAACCAAAATTGGCAACCCTACTTCTAGGTCACTATCATTTTAATTGCTGCATCCCTAAACAAGTACAGTGCAAGATATGCTGGGATTGAATTAGGTTGGATTGTGGCAGCTCAGAGAGTGGGTTTTCAGTTGGTTGGTTTTTTGGACACTGCTGCCTTGTATTCCAGAATCGTAGCTTTCTTTTTTTAAGCATCTTAGCCCTTTTGAAGATAGCTTTGAACACGTGACCTGAGTGTTACTGATCGCTGCTTGACTCTCAGTTGTGTGGACTTAGGGGTAATTAACATTGGAGCCTAGCAATCATTATTTAAATGTTAATATCGTTAATGGTTTCATTGATGATCAAAATGCACAAGGAAGAGGAGGGCCAGGCATCTCATTTTGACCTCTGAGCAGGTGGCACTTGAGTTGTGAGTGAAGTTAGGCAGAGTACACGTAATCACTTTGTACCGACTCTGTTGGCCCATTACCGAGCACTGTGTTTACCCCCAGATCAATGTCCAGCCAGCAGAGGGGCTCCATAATCCCTCCAGCACAGGAAGGGAAGAACTACAGTAGAGCAGAAGGCGGCTGGTTTGAGAGAGTGCCAGAGGCTGCATGAGACTAGGACCAGCAGGCCAGAGGCAGCCGTCTGGGAGCTGGCTGTGGACGGAAACGTCTGATAACAGGCCTGCGAGCTGGGCTGAGGACACACCCTGTTGCTGACAAGGGCCAGCAGTAGCTGCATTTGCCGATACCTGGCTGCGGCTTGTTGTCAAGAAGACAATGCAGAGGGATTATACCAGGACCTTGTTACAGCTTATCCCCCTGGCTTGGGCTTCTGGCTAGGAGATGGGTTGGGAACTGTTGGGATTATCTCATTTGTTTATAACTGTTAAAGTTGCTGCACCAAGGGTACTTGCAACTTTTCTTTCTGGCAGCGCTAACAAAGGAATCCTCAGTTAAGCAAAGTGTGTGAGTGTCCACCCAGGGCTAGACCCTGAAGAGCCCATGCCTGGAGCACCTCCAGCACGTGCACCCAGCATGCGGCCAGACACCTACGAGCTGGTGTAGCACAGCACTCACCACAACAACTTGCTGTGGGGTTGGGTGCAATAGACTGAACATCTGTACAACCTGCTGTGAATGAGGTCTCATTTTTATTTTTGCATCTCCAGGAGTTTAAGGCTGGAACGTGATTTATGGGCGGAGCTTGGGAAAGTACCACTGCTTATTTTTTCCAGTTCGACATGCCAGGTAAAAGGTATGAGGCTGGAGCTTCCTAACCACTTTCTTCCAGTGGTTTTGAACTACTGTGCTTCCTCTAACTCATTCACCTCCGAGCAAACAATTCCAGTATTGCTCTTGGCGCTGAGCTCCCCCTCCAAAAATCTTGCTTGCCTCTATCTCCCACAACCATCTCCACCCCAAGAATCTTTTCTTTCTCCTACAGCCACATACAGAGAGCCTGTCTCTCTTCCACATCTAATCCATAACACTGTCGCAGTTCTTGTGCTCATCACCATAGGGACTGGAACTAGTGGGTGCTGCTAAACCCCCTGGCTCGAAGTGGTTTCCATCATATACAGGGTTTACAGTTTGGTTAATGGCTCTCAAATTGTTCCAGCATCCCTGCTCATCACCATGGTATCTGAGCCTCTACTATCTCCTACCACTACTCTGCCCCCATCTCATCATCCTCCAGATTCGGTCTCTTTTATATTGTAGTGGTTGGCAGCAGCGAATGGAGGGCTAATAAGAATCTATCTATGTCTCTGCTTTACACCTACCTGGCCTGTGACTAGTTCTTAAGCATACCCTGAGGGGGTCCTGGACAATTCTGAAAATAGGTTTCATGTGCCTACCCCCTGGGCTATGCCCACAACTCAGCCATTTGAAAGCACCTCCTCAATGTGCCCAGCATGCACATTGAAAATGTGGCTCCATAGCAGGGTGGAGGATGGTCAATGACTTGTCAGCTTTGTGCCAGTCTTTCTTTGTTTAATTGCAACCTGATTTGCAGCAAGTAGAGAGTCAGAATTGGTTTGAAGAGTTTGTACCATAGCTAATTTAGCTGGGATTCTTATATGAAGAAAAGATTAACACTGGCATGCTGATACCATGGGATTTAAAGCAGTATTTTAGTGAGCCAGACAAGGGATTAATGTGTTAATTCACCAGCACACATTAGCAGAGTGTTCCCCCCCTATTTTTATAGTTAACGTGTTTTAACGTCAGTTTGTTCTGTCACTGTGATGAGTCCTCTCCTTATTAGCAGTGCTGCCAATTATTTTTATGGGAAGAATCTGCTTCTAGTGCCTGTCTCTATGTTGCACACAAAAGAAAAAGCAACCGTTCCCATGCTTTCTGCATGCTTCTTACAGGGAGCTCTGCATGTTCCACAGAGCAGCTGCAAAACCGTATCGGTGCAGACTTACAGCTTTGTCTTTACAGGGCTTGAAACTAAGAATGTGTGAAAAGGGTCCTGATTAGATGTTGTATTTTGCAGCATCTGACAGAGAATAGATGGATATTCCTGGTCTTTAGAGACTTGCTTGTGATTAGATATTTCTTCAGTCCAAAGCTTGCCTGTTCAGCATTTTGTGATCCAGAGGGTGTTCAAGACACATCTTGCAGTATGCCTGCATTGATTTAAAACCAGCAAGCAGATGCAAGCCTGCATCAAGACGGAGTGGATGCTGCTTCTTGTGGTTAATCATGAAGGTACAGCTTTATGTTTCTGAAAGCACTTGACTAGATGGATGTTTTTGTCTAAGCAGTAGATATTATTGCAAAGGAAGATTTGAAAATCAAGTTGTCTGCTCTCTTGCTTGCTTTACCAAGTTCAGTGCTTATCTGTTTACTTGTATCCCAGGGACACCGTACTGTTCTCCTCTGCCTGCACCATCTACCACTGCTGCTTCTACTACTTTCAGTCATCTTTTGAGTCCAGATTTGAAGACTCGTTTAGCAGCATTTGGGACTAAAATCGCCAGCCATTCAGTGTCCTATAGCCCTGTTCTCAGAGTCTGAGAAGGTTTGAGTACTCTCTAAGATTTGGATTGTGAATAAAGATTTATTGCGGGAGCAATGCAAGTTTCCATAGCTTGTACAGAACATAACTTGAAGAATCGAAATGGTGAAGACAGGCTTATCAGCAAACAGAACACCACTACCCCAAACGTAGTGAATGCAGCCCGGGCAAAATTCCGGACAGTGGCTATTATTGCTCGCAGTCTGGGGACATTTACCCCTCAGCACCATATCTCTTTAAAAGAATCAACTGCAAAGCAGACTGGCATGAAATATAGGTATGGGCACAATATTCACTGTTCGTAATGTGTGTGTCATATATCTCTTTACCCTAGGTGAGTCATCTGCTTACAAAGGAATTCCCTTTTCCAAAATCCCAGAGTCTTTTTAAAAAGGGACATTAAAAAAATCCTACTAAAATACTAAGTTTTAAACTTACAAGAAAACTAGCTCTCTTTAGTGGAATTTGGGTCCTAGTGTTTCTGCAGGCATACGCGTTTGCTATTTGATACAAAGAGTTTTCTTTTCTTTAGTTATGATACCAAACATAAATAAATTGAGCACCATTATTTGTGGATGGTGTTTGTTTCATATAGCTCGTTAGTATGTATATGTAAAAAGACTGAATTACAAATGATGGTCAAATATCTGCATAGAAAAAGTTTTCATTTTTACAGCACATGTTGGGTAGAATGTCTCTAAATTAGTTACTGTGTCTTATCCTAATGATCACTTACAGACCTTTCATCTGACTTGCTAAGTGAGGACAAGGAGGAATCTATTTTAAATGAAATGCAGACAAAATCATAACCATGTTCCTAGAAAATCTAATGCTTCTTACAAAATTTTTTCTTAACACAGAAATGTACAAGAGTGTAATTAAGAGTGTCACTTTAATCTTTCTCAGATGTTCAGTCTGCTATATCTGGAAAGCTTCCTTGTATCAACTAATACAAGTACTTATTAAGGACTTACTTTAATTTGGAAAATTTAGCATTTTTGTAATTTAATTTGTATGTATTCAAGACGTTAGCGTATCTGTTCTGCTAGACCTTGAACGTATCCTTTGTGTGGTGTCGGAATTACTTGATTCCTAGAAAGGAGGAGGTGGCAATCTAAGGTCAGATTCTGCTCTGAATTATTCCATAAGTAGCCCCATTGAAATCAGCAAGGCTATTTGTACAATGGTACTACTCAATAGGAGTATGAATGGCAGAATCTTGTCCTTAGGAGTAGGGGATGGAGTGTGACTGTGTGTTTAGAGTTACTGGTAACTTTTCTTTTGCATATTTGCAATTGATTAATTTTCATGCCCAGCAATTTCTGCCCTTGCAAGCTATCCTTTTTTTATGGAAGAGGTATTTGGATACAATGGAATTTAACGTGACCAAATTAAGGCCAAATTCTACTTTTATTTAGACTGATGTAAATCCAGACTGACTGTACTGAAGTTACTCCAAATTTACACATGTGTGTACCTGAGCACAGAGTTTAACGTAAGGCATTTGTGCAGTTATGATAGTTTAACAGAAATGGCACAAGAGGTTGGCCCTTAAGGGATTGCATTTGAAGGGCAACATAACTTCCTAATTTACACGGTCAGTTGTAATTTGTCATTGTAGAATCTGGAATTGCTAGTAAGTAATATCCCCAAAGGATCTGGGAGACTCGGAAGAACCCCAGTTGTCCAGAATAATTTCTCAGTGAGTTCGGGTAGTTTAATCTGAGCACCATTGTTGAAAGATCATTGGACACCCTCACAGATTGGGTTATTTTTAACACCAGTGTTATAAGTAAGTACAGGCAACACAGGTAGTGGATCTGTAAATGACATTGCAGAGTCAGAAACCTGCTGATTAATTTTTACTGTGACAGATTCCCAGAAATACTGCCCTCTGAGAATGACATCACAGTCTGGCTGATCAGGCTCACTGGGCATGCATGGGTTTTCAAAGAGGGGAGGTGGGTAAACCAAAGCTTACCACACAGAGCAGCTCTTAAACCCTGGTGCATCATACTTTCTTATACCAAGTCCTGATCTTGCAGTTCTTATGTTTGCAAAGCTCCTGTTGACTCTAATGGGGATAATATGTAGGTGACAGTTGTAGGATCTGGCCTCTGCCAGGCAACACTAAAGAGGTTATCGCATCAATAGAATGCTCTTTTGTAACTGTTTGATAGCTCAGTAGATTCTAATAGCCTTAGTATGAAGTGAGAGACAGTATAGGCTAGTGGAATGAGCGCAGATTTGGAACTCCTATCCATGCCATTTTCTCATTGTGTAGCCTTGGCCAAATCACTTCACTTCTCTGCCTTAGTTTCTCCGGTACATGCCTACCTACAGGGCAGGGGTGTTGAGAGAATGTTTGTTTGTAGAGAAAATAAAATCACAGCTTCCTATGAGAAGTGCAGCTGTTACATTTACAGCCTACAGTGTTTAAATTGGTAGTAATCATTCCTGTTGGTTTCCCAAAGGAACATTATGCTGCAGATGCATGAATGCAAATAACTGCCCCTCTCTTACTCACCCCATTCAGGGACTCACACAGGAACAGATCTTTGGCCCCTTTCAGAGACATTTATAGCTTATTTCTAGAAAAATTCTGAAATCTGAGGCTAAATTCTGCGGACCTTATTCAGGCTAAACTGCTGTCGACTTCAATGGGAGTTTTGACTGCATAATGTCTGAGTAAGGACTGCAGGATTTGGACCTAATTTGTAACCAGGTTGATGTCCATCCTTATGATTAATCCTTATTTACAATCCCAAATATACCCAGAACTGGAAACAGTGAGAAGCAATTCCTTCCTGAGGAGAAGAAATGGGCAGGAAGTTTGGAGAAAGAGATGATCCAACTGTAAAGGATAATTCTGACATTGGTGAAAGGACACAAGGAGAACCCTAAGTCTGAGGAGATGTTGAAGCTGATACATGTTAATAAATGCACTCTGGCTCCTCTGCAAATGACATGATTATCACACAGATTTAAGGCCTGATCCAACTCTCACTGAAGTCAAATGGAGTGTTTCGATTGACTTTAATGGGAATTGTGCTAGGTCCTTCATTCCCTTATATTTCAGGTTGAAGATTCTTGTTCTTCCCAGATAATTTTCTGCTTTAATTAGGTCATTTATGACAAACTTTTGAATGCTCTCTAAAATGATGTGCTAATGAAGATGCCTTGTTTTATGCTAAAAACAAATACTTCCCCCTCCCCCTTAAAGCCTCTGTAGATAACTAGATAACTTTAAAGATATAGCTGGCTGTGTTGCCATGCATATTTCACAGCATGATTTTTAATGCTTCTTTCTCAGCCACAGCGCTTTGCCTCCTACGACTGCTTGGCAGTTTTTGATTTTAGGCAGTTGAAGAGAATGATCCTGTCAGTGGATTATGTAAAAGAGAGAGACAGTGAGTATGTGTGTGACAGAAGTGGAGGTGGGAGAAGAACCAGTTCTGAGGCTCCTTATCAAGTCAGTGTTTTTGAGCCAGTCCAGATCAGAAACCAGCTTGGAATTTTAAGTGCAAAGTGTACTGAAAATAAATAAATGCACCGTGGAATCTTTAAAATATTAGGACCCGGTCCTGTTCCCATTGACATCACTGGGAGCGTTGCTGTTGGCTTCACTGGGAGCATGATCAGGACCTTACTTTTAAGATTTTTTTTAATTTCATTTCAGTGGATTGGAGGCATCAAGTTGCCATCAAAGAGACTGGTGGCAGGAGGGCAATCTGATAGTTGGCCAGCTGCTGGCTCCCAGTTCCTTTGCGTTTGAAGCATAATGGAAATTAAGCAGCACATGCACCCAGCTTCTGTGTGAGTGCTCCACTTGCAGGCTGCAGAGACAGATGGGGCGTGGCTTAAACCAATGCTGTTCAGGCAGAGCCCTCTCCAAGAACAAGCACATATTGAGGGGAGGGAAGGGGGACATTTTATTTTATTTTAAAGGCATTGTTACCACCAATTACATTTGCATGGCTATTGGTTTTACATTCTTTGTGAAAAATGGAAAAACTGTGGCCTGACAAACAAGTGAAAATGGCTACACTCCTTTTAATTCCATTAATATTACAGTTCAGTTACGCTGGAGAATCTGCCCATATGCTCAGATAATGTTCTCTAGAGCGCTGCAAGTCTTTCCTTGAACATAATTTCGTGATGCTTGGCTTGGAAAATTTCAATCTGCTGCCTAATTTTTCAAAACAAATAATATATTTCTACATCCATCTGATGTACAGCATATAAGGAGAGACAGAAAAAGAGGGCAGGAAAAAAGACGAGTACTGGGACTCAGCAGGTTTTCGAAGAACAAAAGATCTATCCTGACTTCTCCTCCTTCCTAACTTCCAACTCTGGTGGGTTTCCCCCCCCCAGATTTCTATATTTGATGCTCTATATACAAATTTAAGCAGATCTTTGTCAATGCAGGACCCTCACTGGACTTGGTACACAAGATTATTTGGAATATCTGTCATTACAATTAAAAAAAAAAAACCAAACAAACCTCAGACTTCTGCCAGCATCAAACAGCTGTGCAAGCCTTAACATTGCCTGATCTGTCTGGGATGAAAACTCAACTGTGTGATTTTCAGTCCTGAGCTCTAATTCTGTAGTTTCCTCATTCACTTTGCTGATGGTTAAGGGTCTATCAGCATTTCTAAAATAAGCCTTTATTCCCACTGCTTCTTGAAGCTGGCTGAAACTTGACATAAAGAGCCTGCTTTATAAAACTAACCTCCCTGTTTGTAGCCAAAAATAACTGATGCTATCTCAACTTCTGGCTCAAATGAGGGCATATAGAAAACCAACTACACCTCTACCCCGATATAATGCTGTCTTCGGGAGCCAAAAAATCTTACCGCGTTATAGGTGAAACTGCGTTATATCGAACTTGCTTTGATTCGCCGGAGTGCATAGCCCCGCCCCCCCGGAGCACTGCTTTTTCGTGTTATATCGGGTCACGTTATATCGGGGTAGAGGTGTACTTGATTATACCCGCAAAAAAATTACATTTTTTCAGTCATTATTAATTGGCATGTCATTTATTTAAATGCAGACAGTGATCTTGGTCCTATACAAGACACAAAATGGATACAGTCCCCAACAATCTAAATAAGACAGCATAGATAGTTTAGAGAAGGATGGATGGGCTAATAGGGGACTGTTCTGGAACTCCAGACCTAGCTTTGATGCCCAGCTCAGCCATAGACTTCCTATGTGTCCTCAGGCAAGTCACTTAATCCATTTGGTGCCTTAGTTTTCCAACTGTAAAATGGG